GTTGTTCCAAACATCTTGGAGAATAACCACAGATCTTCTGTGCATGTAGGCTGCCTCAACTCCTTCTGTCTGTTCACGTAATTCCAAACAGTTCCTATGATGTTGCGATCAGGGCTCGGGGGGGGGGGCAAACCATCACTTCCAGGGTTTCTTGTACTTCTTTATTCTTAATGACATTGGCTGTATGTTTGGGGCTGTTGTCCTGCTGCAGAATAAATTTGGGGCCAATCACACGCTTCCCTGATGGTATGGCATGATGGATAAGTATCTGCCTGTATTTCTCAGCATTGATCTTTGATCTTTGATCCTGACCAAATCTCCGCCCCAAACTTGCAAGGAACCTCCACCATGCTTCACTGTTGCCTGCAGACACTCAATGTGATGGCTTTCGCGGATGCCTCCCCAGACGCTAGTTCAGATGAGGGAGAGCCAGTTCCAGGCATATCAAAGGGAATGTGGAGGAATGTCAGGAGGTTGACAGAGGCTCTGGGACAGGAGTGGTAAGGCCGAGTACTGTGGAGCAATCACAGAAGGAGCGACCAGACAAGTGGTTGGCTGAGCTAGGGAAAGGAGGGGCACAACTGCAGCGGAAAGGCAAGAGGAGAGTGCACACAGCTGCAGCTGGCCAGCGGGGATGAGGAAGAACTGCCTCTCCTCCTGATCCAGGGCTGAGAAGACACAGGCACAACGGAGGTCAGCCAGTGTTTCAATTCCACTCTTCAGTATATCAATACTTTCAGCATTTCCTCATTTCAGTTTCATTCCAATTTCATTCAGTTTTCTGGAAGTTTCTTCACCTACTTCCAAAACATTTTTTTTCATTAAAGTTGCTCAATTTCTGTACCTCTTTTAATCTTAATCACTCCATGTTCTCATTGAATGTACTTCTAAACCGGGGTCCCTAATCCCCGGGCTGCAGCCGATTACTGGGCCACAAGCTGTTTGGAGCAGGGGCATGGAAGTAGCGGGTGAGTGTGCATGCATGCACTCATGTCCCCACTTGCACGAGCAGTGTGTGTGTGTGTGCACATATGCACTCCATTTGTGCAAGCAGTGGACACTTGTGCAAATCGAGTTGTGCGCACACACGCACACTTAATTGCCACTCACACAGAACCATCCCGCCAGTCTGCAAAGCCAGAGAGATAGGGGAACTCTGTTCTAAATTATCTCTTTCTCTGTAATCATATTACACAGTATGTCTTCTTCTAATCCTCATTTTTTTACAGCAGTCACTCTTATGTGCACTTTTCTTCATCCACAGCCTCTTTCACTTCATCATTGCACAATGTTTCATTCTTCATCCTTCCCAGTAGCATAATTCCCACATACTTCTGTAATACTGTATATCAGGGGTGTCAAACTGCTGGTCCACAGGTCGGATGCATCACGAGGAAACCGGGCCCACCCCATTGCCGGCAATAGAGTTTGACATGTCTGCTCTATAGCAATGTTTCTCAACTTTGAACACTTGAAAATGTGTGGACTTCATCTTCCAGAATTCCTTTCACTCTGCTTGATGCAGCTTCTGCATGCTCTTTCTATTCATTCTACCACAAGATTAATCTGCTATTTTTTTCCCAAATAAAAGACTATGCTATTGCTTCACACTGCCAAAATAAATATAATAAAATAAAGGAGCTTTTCATTCAGCTGTTTTTAACAAGCCCAGCAAATTGCTACACTTTTTGCATTATCTGTCTTTTCAATGTAAACTTTAAGAATGGAGTAAGATAATATTTTCCAAGCACAATGTTCTACTGACATTGGATCTTAAAATATAATCATACTTTCAACACAGCTTTGAAAATTATACCCTTGATAGAAATTTTAAATTCAAGTTGACTTCATAATTACACTGAGGAAGAGAGATGTCATTTTTACTCAGGATCAAGTCTGACTAGAGATTGACAAAAGTTAACATATTTTTGTGTATGAACAAATAAATTACACATAAAAGTACAAAATGCTCTAACATCATGGGCCTACATCCAAAATATGTTTTCTTCACACAGGAGATGCATTCAATCATAAACATTCCAACCTATACATATTTTATAGAAAGTTTTGATATGTCGAGTCAAATCTTTAGTATGTTCACATACCAGCACAGATTCAATACTGTATAAGTTTATGAATAAACTTAAAACCATCTCTTACAGGTATTACATAATGGAGAGCAATGTCAGATAATAATGAACAAAACTACAAATAGTTCTCGTTTAATGATTGGTCATTTAATGACCATTTAAAGTTACAGTGAACCCCACCCAAAAGTTACTTACAGCCCATCCTCAAAGTTACAACACACACACACACACACACACACACAAAGTTACAACACACACACACACAGAGCACATTATGGGCACTTGGCACCTAGCTTGCATTTACAACTAGTTGCATCATCCCACAGTGATCCCACATGACCACAAATTGCACCTTTTTGCCAGTTTCCAGCAAAAACTATCCATTCAAGAGAATAGATTTGCTTAATGACCATGTGCTTTGCTTAATAACCATGGTGATTTGCTTTATGACCATTATACAAATGATTGTAAAAATCAAGTCAGGGCACATGGTGATCTGTTTAGCAATTGCAATGACTTATGACCAAAATTCTGGGCTCAATTGTAGTTAAGTAAGGACTACTTATATGTCATGTTTAAACCAGATATAGTCCTCAGCCACTATCAAACAAGATGAAACAGTCAATTATGGGATTAGTTAGAATGGTACCATTTTTGCTTAAGACAATAAAGCATCTTTGTCTCCACTTGCAATCTCAAATGATACAATCCAGGTATTTTGTTTACTATTTGAAAATGAAGCCAAGCTATTCAAAGGTATCACACAAGGCAAAAAAGATACTATATGCCAGGACAGTATTTCTTAAATTCTCACATTAATTGTGTCAGTAAGAAAAATCAAAATTATATGCCAAGAGGCTTCAGGAACTATGTATAGTACTGAAATGCTTAACAAAACCTGAAGATTCTATGAGGATTTATTTCGATGTTAAAGTTTACACAATATAATTGCATTTGCTAAAAGAAATAGTTGATCTGCTCTAATATAAAAAGTTATAATTTGCTCTTTGCCTGTGACTTAAAGAATTATTTAAAAATGAATGAATACACAATAGCACATTATAAATACAAAGCTAATTGAGTGTGAAATATTAGTTTCTGCTTTTCTACAGTAATATGCTTAGGTTGAACATCAATTAAAATATGTTTATGTGAATTTGCATGGATATGTATATACATATACGTACATCTATATATGCATGGATATGTATATAAATGTATACAAATAATTATATTTACAAAGAATGAGAATACGGGCTACTTAATACCATTATTCTGTAACATATTCCATATTACTGTAGGTACAGAGCAGGAGTGTCAAACTGCCGGCCCCCGGGCCAGATGCGTCATGGCGAAACCGCACCTACCCCATTGCCGGCAATGGAAAAAAAGTCGCGATACGTCACGACACGTCACGTGATGTTGCGAGTTTGACACCCCTACTCCAGAGACTCATGATTTCAAAATTAACTTAAATGAAATTATCCCACAGCAAAATTTAATAGTTTGTAAAAAAAAACCCTATTTTAGTATAAAAATAATCTGCTAGATGATTTTAGAGGACTGTATGTATGTATGTACATATGCATGCATGCAAGTATGTACACTGCCCATCTCACCTAAGTGACTCTGGGTTGTTTTCAAACCTATTAAATAAAATAACATGTGTAAACTTAGTTTACAAACTAAATAATAGTAATCGTAACTTTTACATTAATTAATCTGGAACTAAAGTTTCCTGATTTGATACAAACATGAATTTTTCCATTACAAGGATTAGACCAGTGGTTCTCAACCTTTTTAATGCCGTGACCCCCAACCGGTCGTAAGTCGAGGACTAAACCGGTCGTAAGTCGAGGACTTTCCCTGCCCGGGAGCGCTGCGCATGCGTGGTTCCGCCCCCTGCGCCGGCCGAGGCATATCTGGCAAGCGGCAGAGATGGAGCAGGCTGACCACCAGCTGGCCCAGCTCAAGGGAGGTAAGGCACCCACCGGAAAAGGGGAAAAAATGGCAGACAGCCTTGCTTGGCGACCCCCGTGAAATGGTCGATCGACCCCAAATGGGGTCACGACCCATAGGTTGAGAACCGCTGGATTAGACACATTAAGGAATAAGGTCATGTCTTAAATTAACTTAGATGAGTTGTTATGCATTTAAAGGAAGGTTTGTTTACCTTTACCACTTTGTGTGAAGAAGGGATACTAAACTGTGTTCAAACTATCGTAGTTCTGGGTACAAGAGTGCTGAATAAATGGGTTACAGTAAATACGGATTCAGGACGTATAGAAACATCCCCCCCCCAATAATGCATATTTCCAGAACAGAAAAGGCAGGATATGCACATTTTGTAGCTTAGATAAAAGTGAAAAATGAAAATCTAAAAAATGCAGAGCTGGGCAAGGCTTTCAGGAGGTAAGTGCTATAAAACGCTGGGAAGCATTCCGTTTCTTGGCACTCTGATCCTAACCAGTCTGGTCGATCCACTCAGAATTTTTGGTTTTTTTTTTTTTTTGTGTGGTGGTTGTTTTGTTATTCTAGATGAACCAGAGAAATAACCTCTCTCTTTTTTAAACTCAACGTTTAAGATCAGCTATCCTCGTTTACTCCTTTGGGGGAGCCCCGTCCGAATTGTTTAGCCGGATTTTTCAAAAGTTGGAGGAAACCTAAGAAGGGGGGGGGACAGCTCTTCGGGCACGGGCTGGGACTCGCCCGTAGCCCAGGCAGAAGCGGCGGCGGCTCAGCCTCGCCTTAGCCGGAGGGCACCTAAAGAGCGGAGCCCGCTGTTTCTCGGCGCCCTGGGCGGAGGTCAAGGGCAGAAGCGCAATGAGAAGAGCGCAGGGATGGGGACAATCTTGGCGCCCGCTAAGCCGGGTCACCGAAGAGCCACCGGCACTTTGCCTCCTCACCCACCGGGTATCCTGTAGCAGGTCCAGGAGGGGCAGGAGCTCTCGCCGCCCGGCTTGGCAGCGCCCGCCGCTTCCATGTTGTGAACCTGAAAAGGGCAGGGCTGCTCCGGGGCACCTCCGTCCTCCTCCTCCCGGTTGCCGGGTTCCTCCTGCCTGAGCTCCCATCGCTCCGTTGCCTCTGGCCCGGCGGCGGTGGGACCTGCGGCGCCTTCCCCGCCGGCCTGAACCAGCACCATGAGGATCGCCCCGCTGCTTCAAACTGCTTGCCGGCTCCGTCCGGCGAGGAGCCGGCAACTTTAGTGCGCATGCGGTAAGACCGGGTTGGCGCCGCCTCCCTCTGTCCCGTGGGCGAGGCCGGCTGGTTCCCACGGGGAGTTTATTGGTGGCTGCGGGCCTCTGGCAGGCTGCTTCTGCTTTCCAGCCCCGAGAGTGGAAAGGTGGAATCTGGAGTTAAATTTGAAGGAGAATATTTGAGAATACCTCAGGCTGTTCAGCACTTTAAATCAGTGGTTTTTCAAATTTGGCAGTTCTAAGATGGATGGACTTCAATTCTCAGAATGCCAGAGCCAGTTAAGCTGTGTGGACTTCAACTCCCAGAATTCCCCAGCCAGCATGATGACTGGAAAATTCTAGGAGCTGAAGCCCACGCATCTTAATGTTGCCAAGTTTGAAATACACAGCATTAAATAATAC